TTTGGAACGCTGCAGCTATTATATAATAATAATAATTAATTCATAAAATCAGCGCAATTCCTATAACGTATTTATTCCTAACAAGTTAATATAAGCATAGAAATTTCGTTCGCTGAGCGGATAATAGCTATTCACAAGATTTGTGAAAAATATCTTTCCTTCATTCACACGACTATTATGCGCACACGAATCAAGGAAAATTGTGAATGTATGTTCATCGGGTTTAAGTTTTGGATCCTTGACTAAACCATTATATAACTCAAAAACACGATCTATTTGTCGCTCTCTATTACAAGCGTCCATCAAACAGTTGATACAAGTTGTATCTGGCTGAACACCCTGCGCTAGCATTGTTTGATAGGTATCAAATGCTTTTGAAAGCATTCTTTGATTGATAAATGCATTCATTATACTACAATATATGTACTCATTTGGTACAATGTCCGTTTTTTTCATGTCATCAAATATTCGGAGTGATGTATCTAAATCACCTAACGTAACAGATGCATCAATTAGTGCGGAATATGTGACAACTGTAGGCTTTATATTATTTGCAAGCATTTCTTGATAAACACGGACAGCTTCCGTATACTTGTGACATCTTGCTTTAGCAGTAATAAGTGCGGTATAAGCAATAACGTCCGGTTCTATTCCCGCTTTTTTAATGTCTTTAAATATTCTATCCACAACTTGTTCATTAACGCCATTTTTTTGCATCCATGCAACCATTAAAGATGTATAAGTTATTAGATTTGGTGATAAATTAGATACTACCACCATATGATAAAACCATCGGCTAGCTTCCTTACAAAGTCCTGCTCGACCATAGGCCGTGATTAAAATACTATAAGTATGATGATTAGGTTTAATTCCTCTTTGACTCATATGTTTAAAATAATATTCTATTGAAGATATATCTTTTACTTTCCCACATACTTCAAAAAGACTAGAATAAGTTCTGACATTTGGTTGAATATTTGCTTTTAACATATCTTGCGCTTGTATTTATTGCTCTTATTTTTTTCTTGTAATTTAAATACTCAAG